GCCTTGAGCTGAAGAGCTGAGGGACAGCGACCAAGCCCAGAGTTCAAGCCCAACGACCGACCAAAAAAAAAAAAATAGTTAACATTAGCTGATCCTTAACTATGCACCTAGGAAAAGTTACACAGGGTTCCTACTAAGCCTAAAACATAATAGCTACCATTTTAACCACTCTGACTTTATTGCATAGTGGTGATAACTACATTCTGTGTAACTATCACCCATTCATCTTTAGTACTTTTATTCTTCCCAGACTGAAACCTATTAGCCACACTCTCCCTGTTGCTTCTCCCCGCTCCCCCAGCTCCTGGAAGTTGTCATTCTACTTTCTGTCTCTATGAATTTGACCCTTCTAAGGACTTATAAATATGATGTGAAATTTGTTATTTATTTAATCTGGCCATTTCTCTTAGAATAATGTGTTTGAAGTTTCATTTATGTGGTAGTGTGTAGGAATGCTTTTGATCCTAAAGAACATTATATATATATATATATATATATATATAATTACTTTATTACAATGGAGTCAACTAAGGTACATAAAATTTTAACTAGGTGCTGGTGGCTCTCATCTGTAATCCTAAATACTCAGGAGGCTGAGGTCTGAGGATCGTGGCTCAAAGCCAACTTGGGCAGAAAAGTCTGTGAGACTCTCATCTCCAATTAACCATCAAAAAATGAAGTGGAGGTTTGACTCAAAGAGTAGAGTGCTGGCCTTGGGTGAAAAAGCTGAGCAAGAGTGAGAGGCCTTGAGTTCAAGCCCTAATTCTCCCTCCTCCTCCTCCTCCCTCCCTCCCTCCTTCCCTCCCTCCCTCCCTCCCTCCCTCCCTCCCTCTCTCTCTCTCTCTCTCTCTCTCTCTTTCTCTCTCTCTCTCACACACACAGAACATCAATTCTATGAAAGTGCTAAGATTCCCTAGCAAGAGTTAAATGTAGGTTGTACCCTAACCTTCCTACTACATTGCCCCTGGGAGCTTATTTTCTGGATGATGATGATGATGATGATGCCACTATACCCAGTCTGTAGAATGGCCAGAAAAGCACACTGATGGACTGTGATGTTACTTCTTGCAGGGAAAGTTCATAATGAGAGAGCATTTTGGGGGGGCCATGGTGTGGACATTGGACATGGATGATGTCAGGGGCGCTTTCTGTGGCACTGGCCCTTTCCCCCTGGTTCACACATTGAAGGACCTTCTGGTAAAGGCTGGTAAGTAGCTATGGCCTGAAAGCTAGAGTTGGAATTTGCATAACTGGGCACTGGTGGTCTATTCAGGTGGATCTAAATTCTTCAATGAAGCGACATGACACTGAGGGTAGACCAAGCAATATGTTCTCTAATCTTTGCTGAGATACCTGTCCCTTATTTGACTCTGTGTGTGTGTGTGTGTGTGTGTGTGTGTGTGTGAGTGTGTGTTGCTAAGAATTAAACCCAGCCTCTAGCACTCTACCACTTGAGTCATGTTTCAAGCCCTTTTGTTTATATTTTGCTTGTGACATAGAGTCGCTAACTGTGCCCGAACTGGCCTAGAACTCTCAATACTCCTTGCCTCTGCCTCTCAAGCAGCTCTGATTAAAGGTGTGCACCACCATGCCTGGCTCCTTATTTGCCCTCTTAGGGTTTCCTTTGCCTTATCTGGAAATAGGAATAACACTATTATAAGAAACAAATGAAATATGCAATAAGACGTCACTGGCTCATATTAGTACTCAATACATGTCAATTTATTTCTTGGATCAGGATTTCTTTTGATATATCCTTCCTTCTTTCCTTCCTTCCTTCCTTCCTTCCTTCCTGTCTCTCTCTTTCTCTTTCTCTCTCTTTCTTTCTTTTTTTGCTTGAACTCAGGGTCTTGTGCTGTCCCTCAGCTTGTTTGCTCAAGGCTGGCACTCTATCACTTGAGAAGCCATAACTCCATTTGGCTTTTTGTGGTTAATTGGATATAAAAGTCACATGGACTTTTCTGCCTAGGTTAGCTTTGATTTGTGATCCTCAGATCTTAGCCTCCTGAGTAGCTTAAGATTATAGGCATGAGCCACCAGCTCCAAGCTGATAATTTCTTTTTTTATTAAATATTTTTATTGTTATTATACAGAAGGGTTACCATTTTGTAAGTCAGGCAACAAGTACATTTCTTTAAAAATTTTAAATTGTTATTATAAAGCTGATGTACAGAGGGATTACAGTTACATAAGCCAAGTAAAGAATACATTTCTTTTTTTTTTTTTTGGACGTCACCCCTTCCTTCTCCTTCAGACTCTCCCAGTTTTTACCTCCTGTCCCTACTCACAAGATATAGAGTTCATTTTCAACATATTGTCTAGTGAGTACCACTGCTGCATTTGTTCACCCTTTTATCCCTCCACTTTCTGTGCTCCCCTTATCCTCCCAAAGACAGACAACGAAAACAAGACAAGAAGAAAGGGAGAAAAGAAGAACTTTTGCTTCCATTTCCTGCAGTTCATTTCAATAAATACTATTTTGTATGTCTTTGTATTCCTCTCCTAAGAGTTTCCTCCTTTGGTCTCAGTGGGTGTGAATGACCTGTATAATTTATCACATCCCAGGGCTGGGAAGGTGGCTCAGTGGTAGAGTGCTTGTCTTGCATGCCAGAGGCCCTGGGTTCGATTCCTCAGCACCACAGAAGCAAAAAGAAAAAAGCCAGAAGTGGCGCTGTGGCTCAAGTGGTAGAGCGCTAGCCTTGAGCTGAGGGACAGTGCCCAGGCCCCAGAGTTCAGGCCCCATGACCAGACCCCCCCCAAAAAAAATTTATCACGTCCCAGTGTATTTTAGATCTGCATATGAGAGAAAACATGCACTGATTGTCTCTCTAAGCTTGGCTTACTTCATGTAACATGATTTCTTCTCTAATCTTTCTTTTCTTTCTTTT